CTCCTGTACTTGAGATAGACTACAGGCTACTGTGCAGCTCCTGTACCTAAGACAGACTACAGACTACTGTGCAGCTCCTGTACTTGAGACAGACTACAGGCTACTGTGCAGCTCCTGTGGTGTTTAGAGCTTTAATGCCAGGCGCGGTGTGGGCGGCGCGGCGTGGAAATGTCTCTAAATGTCACGGAGATGAGGCCGACTCCGGCTGCCAAGGCTACGGCGATAAAGGCTTAACCAGCGCGAACCAACGCCAAGAACAGGCTAGGCCCTGCACGGGAGGCCGGTTTACAACTTAACAGGGACAAATACAAATGCTGGCAATGTCGAAAACAAAGCTGCAGCAGCTCTTTCTCCCAAGCCATCTACAGTTCAGCTTATCTTAGGCAAGAAATCCTTTTTCTCGCTGCTTTTCTATTGGAAGCAACAGCGCAACGCTTCATATCCATTGCAAAACAGAAATTTCCAAAACCATCTACAGTTTAGCTTGTCTAAGTCAGGAAATCATTTTTCGTGCTTCACTTGGAGTGGAAACAATATCGCGATGCAAAACATACATTGCAAAACAGAAATAAGCAAAAAAAAAACGAAGCATGCAAACATTCTACCATATAACAAGACTACGGGCGCGCCCGCAGTAGTAAGAAAGCAGAGTATCCAGCGCACTTACCGATCTGATAGGAGTAAGAAGTCCGTCTGATGCAGACCCGGGGCTGTGGCCTCTTTTATTCCCACCACCCACGCACCGAACCTGCCGTCCTACGGAGACGTCAATCATCCCCCACCAGACGTTCCAACCAATCAGATCCCCCCACCAGACGTGTCAGCCAATCTGATCCACTCATCAGGCGTGTCAGCCAATCAGAGGGCGGCGCGCGGTTCGATAATTCGATGACGAGGCGCGTCATCGCTATCTCGGGGGTTATCTTCCCCAGACGTCACAAAACTCCCGCGCAAAGTAATTTCTTATCAAGTGGTGTAATTTGTTATTCCGTTTGCGCACAGCCCGGTCTAACCCGGGGCGATCCCACTCATTTATGTCCATTACCGGAGTGTCTGACCGCTTTCTGTGAAGCCGTGGCGTAAATATCGTAACTCGATTTCGCTCGATTTGTGATTTCGCCGCCTTCCACAAAGGAAGAACGTAAGGCCTGATGATTCAGAAAGAAGCAAAAGCAATATATGGTGATTTTGCGAAACATAGATTTGCCCACTAGACTCAAGTGAAAATGAGTATTGTCTGTCCAGTATTCATTTCTATGTGCGAGACACAACACCAGCAACAGCTGCTTTTGTTCTGCGTGTATTGCATTGTTGCAATTTCAATAAATCAATTTTGAAAGATTTTTTTATGTATTGCGTCAGTATTCCAGAAACGAGATTCGATGGAATAGAGGAGGATTCTCTGGAAACTAGATTACACAACTTCGTGATTTTACCGTCTTCGACAAAGGAAGAACGTAGGGGCTGAGCATTCAAACCGATGTTAAAGCAATATATGGTAATCGTAAAAAGTGTTTAACTCCCACCAAATAGACGCCATATGATAGAGGATGCCAGAAAGATTGCCTGATACAAGATCACAACACTTTATGACTTTACCGCCTTCGACAATTTCAGAACATAATGGAATTGCAATATATGGCGATTTTGAAAACATGTTAGGTTCTTTTTTTTTATGTCTTGCGTCAGTATTCGAGAAACAAGATTCGATGGGATAGAGGAGGATTGTCTGGAAACTTGATTACACTCACTTTGTGATTTTACCGCCTTCAACAAAGGGCTGATCATTCAGACCTATGTTAAAGCAATATATGGCGATTTTAAAACATGTTAGGTTCTTTTTTTATGTCTTGCGTCAGTATTCCAGAAACAAGATTCGATATAATGGAGGGTGCCAGAAGGATTGTCTGGAAACTTGATCACACCAATTTGTGATTTTACCACCTTCGACAAAGGCAGAGTGTAAGGGCTGATCATTCAGAAAGAAACAAAAGCAATATATGGCGATTTTGAAACATGTCTTGCGTCAGTATATAATAGAGGATGCCAGAAGGATTTCTGGAAACTCGATTAGACCACTTTGTGATTTTACCGCCTTCGACATAAGCAGAATGTATGGGCTGAGCCTTTGGACTGAAGGACTGCACAGCAAACCAGTCAGAATTGCCCTGATGAAGATGACAGACGGCCGACGTTTCGATGACCGTCTGTGCACTGACGCTAGATGTTACGTAAGCTTGGTGCATAGTGCACTAAATGTGTTACATGGTTCACAGTGCACTGTTACTTGGTTCACAGTGCACTTAGCCTAGTTTTTACTGTTAACAATGCATTGCCGAACATAGTGCACAGTAAACCAGTCAGAATTTCCCTGATAGACGGTCATCGAAACGTTGGCTCGTAAAAAAATAAATGGTTGTGATCAAAGAACTTTGCTCTTCACTTTGGGTGATGTAAGTTCTCTTATACCTTGCGCCAGTAATCGTAAAAAGTCTTAAACTCCCACCAAATAGACGTCATATAATAGAGGATGCCAGAAAGATCGCCTGATACTCAATTACAGCACTTTATGATTTTATCGCCTTCGACAAAAGAAGAACATAATGGCATTGCAATATGCGGCAATTTCGGAACACGTTGCTCTGTGGGTGATTTTTTTTTTTATTTCTTGCGTCAGTAACCAACAAACATTTTAACCTCCCGTCAAATAGAAGTGATTTAATGGAGGACGCAGGAAGCTCTGTCTAGGAAATTCTATTACACCACGAATGCAAGACATAAGGACTGAAGGCATTGCAATATACTATGGTTTTGGAACACGTTTGTCTGTGTGTGACGTTTATTTAGTGCGTCAGTAACCGTGATTTAATGGTAGATGCCAGAAATGTCTGGAAACTTGTTTACACCACTTCGACAAAAGCAAAATACATGAGGTGAGCCTTTCATTTGCACTGAAGGCGATTTTGGAACACGTTTGTCTATGTGTGACTTTTATTTCTTGCGTCAGTAACTTAGAAAAGTTTTAACCTTACATAAAAAAAGACGTGATTTAATGCAAGATGCCAGAAGCTCTGTCTAGGAAACTTAAGTGATCACTTTGTGATTTTACCGCATTCGACAAAGGCAAAAGATCGTTGCTGTCCTTAAAGATGTTACTGCAGTGTGCGGTGATTTTTGAACACGTTGGTCTGTGTGTGATGTTTAGATGCCAGAAGAATGTCTGGAAACTTGATTACACCTCTTTATAATTTTACATACGAGCTGAGCCTTTGCACTGAAGGCGATTTCAGAACACGTTTGTCTATGCGTGACGTTTTACGTCTTGCGTCAGTAACCAACAAACGTTTTAACCTCCCATCAAAGAGACGTGATTTAATGGAAAATCGCCCGGGAACACGATTACACCACTTTGTGATTTAACGGCCTCCTACAAAAGGAAAGAATCAAGGCTGTTCGTTCAGACTCGTGCAATATACGGGGGAGGATACAGGTATGCTTTGGTCTGTGTCCTATGAGGGATGTTAGTGGTTTATGAGTCCCTCGTAAGTATGTATCATAATCTCCCATCAAATAGACGTGATATAGAATGCAGGATTTTAGAGGGATTGTTAGAGACCGTGCAGGGGAATGAGTGTGCCATGGGACCGCAGGCGCACATGTTACGGCGCGTTACATTCGTCATAGGCCGTTGCTGCGTTCCAAAACGTGTTTCAATCCAAAGCATAATTTTTAATGTTGAAAGTTTAAACTTTTGGTCCAACACAAAAAAGTTCTCTCACCTAGAGCTTTCGACCAGTCACTCTGGTCTTCCTCAGTAGACTGACACAGTGAAGCTTGTCACGTGGCTTCTTTGAAGTGTGACGTCAACACTGGGTCAAAGGTATCTGGTAGACGATGTCGGCCCCCGTCGCGGTTCATAGTTTTTAATACTGTGAAATGGAATGCCTCTGCATTCCAAAACGTGTTTTATTCTATGCATTCCCTTTTGTCCCAGTGATTTGGGATACTACGAGATGGAATTGATCTGTATTCCAAAATGAGTTCCATCCCAAGACATGTTTTGGAACAAAATGAAGTTGATTGCATGTTGCGCTGTATTCCAAAACGTGGTCCATTCCAAAGCATAATTTGGAATATTATGAAATGAAATGCCTCTGTATTCTAAAACTTGGTCCATTCCAAAACATGATTTGGAATAGAGTTAGTAAAGAGACTCTTTTTACACAACCAAGTCTTTTATTCGGCCGACGTTTCGATGACCGTCTGTCACCTTCCTCAGGGCAATTCTGACTGGTTCACATTGCACTGCAACACAGGTGTCGCTGCTATAGATGCATTCCCAAACGTACAATATTTACATATCTACACATATGCGTGAAAGAGAGTCTCTTTACTCAGTGTCAAAATACATGATTAGTACATGTACATACTGGGCATAAGTTGGAAGGATGATATCAGGTAACTGACCTGCAACGCATGTAGTGAAACGTGTTGAATAACAGAAAGGGTGTAAAAAACTGATTGTCAGACCGCCTGTCGTGCCCCAGTAACCAAAAAATTGGGCTGTGGGATAGATGAGAGATAAACTGCATGGATAAACTACTGCTGTAGGCTGGGGACTGATTAGACAAAGATGGATCTGCTCTGTTGGAAACTGTGTGACGCACGGAACATACACCTCCCAGCATGCGGCTAGGGATGAAATCTGCAGAAGCTGATTAGAGTATGTTTTATTAATAAACTGGTGATGTATGTCTGCGCTGCATTGTGTATATTGTATAAAAATACACACACGTACACATACACACACACACACACTGTCGTACACACACACACACTCACACACTCTCACACACACACACACATACACACACACACACACACACACACACTCAGTGAATGCCAGTTACGTGTGATGTGTGGGATGCGTCTCTCCTGTATCTTCGCTACCAGAGATCAAACTTGGAACAAGGCCCTCCCTCTTCTCTCTCTCTCTCTTTCTCTCACCCTCTCTCTCTCTCTCCCTCTCTCTCTCTCTCTCCCTCTCTCTCTCCCTGAATGCCAGTTACGTGTGATGTGTGGGATGCGCCTCTTCTGTATATTCGCTACCAGAGATCAAACTTGGAACCAGGCCAGAAAAATCCACCTCCCCGATGAATGATTGCCGCCGTGTGAGATAATGAAGCCTCGCCGAGCGTCATTCATGCCTCATCTGTAACGTAAAGGTAGGAGAGAACAAAAGGCAAAGACACGTGCGTTCAAATTCAACACACACCTGCGTCCAATTTCTCAGGAGTGTGGGGCACAAAACGAGGGTTCTTGGAACCGCCGACAGAACAACTCAAGCAACTGGATATGATTTTGGAAACGGTCAGACGCAATCTCAATTTGCATCATCCTTGTCTTGCACTTGTCGAACTTTTGTTTCCTTTTCGACTTCCAACAAATTTCTTTACTGATTTGTATACATGTAACAGCCAATAGTTCGTGCTTATAAACCTGCCTTTCTGACAAGTCTCCAGTGTCGACATGTCGCTGATGAAAGGTACTGGATGCTACCTGAAATGTCCAGTTGCTTGAGTAACTGTTTTTTTGGCGTATCTTAGTACTCGGATGTCTAACCTTCACCGTCCTCTCTTACTTTCTCATTTCCCGCCCTGGAATCTTGGCAGGGTTCAGAAAA